AGCGTTTTGGGGAAATTATAGTCACAGATTTTATAGAATGACTGAAGACTGTTCTCTTCTTTTACTTTTCTCAGTAGTAACGTCCTGCTGTTGATCATGCCTCTCGTATGATGTCACATGATCATACGATCCATTGCAGTGTTTGGAAAAAAGCAATGGAAAGTGCAATTTTTAATAAAAAGAAACATATATATTTTAATTGCTGTTTCCATTGAGCAATTTTTATTTTTTGGAATTCCAAGTTGTGCAATTTTATGGTTAATGAAAAGGCATCTATTAAAAACATAAATGCATCTTTATAAAGTTATAGTCATGATATACTGTATACTATTCAGATAATGGACATGAATATTGTTGTAATTTTGTGTTATTAATGATGCATTTTAACAGCTTCTAGAGACAGAATGATGGTAAAACACACACGTTTCAAATCAACGCTCAGTTGATTGAAACTTGTGTGGAAAACTTATTTTCCACAAACTACTGGAAAATAATCCCTGACGCACAAACTTTGAACTATCAGATCATTCAGATCCATTGTACTCTATCAGCAGAATGTGTGTCAGACTCAAGGATGCAAAAGTGAAAAACTCAGATAAAATCCTACAAGGACAATTTAACTTTATTTCAGGTAATTCAGAATGTGGCTGCTGCTAGAATGTTGTGTATAAATACCCATTCAATAAGTGAATATTATTTATTTCAGGAACTTCTTCACCAAGTGAAACAGTTTTTATAGATGAATTACTCTCATAGAGGTGTTTTCCAGCCTGTATTTTTCATAATTATGATTATAGCTAACAAAAACACGACATTTAAAATTAGAATATTACATCAGACAAATAAAACAATTATTTTATAATACAGAGATGATGACTTAATTAAAAGTACGTTTAATAACCATTTGAAGGTTATTTTCAAATGGTACGTTTTATCTGGAAAATTAGTCTAATCAGAATGCATATTTTAATTTATTGAATATGACTGTACTGGTAAATATTGTGCTGATGACATCTGTTGCAATAGACGCCTGTTTTCTTCTTTTCTTGCCTTTCATTTGTGTCTAGCATGAGCTTTTCTTGCTGCGAGACTCCTACTGGCTAAATATTGCATAAACATAAAAAATACAACTTCCAGCTACAGCACTGGAAAAAATTTAGACACCACTTAAAATGATCAGTTTATCTGATTTTAATAGGTATGTTTGAGTACAATAAACATTGCTCTTTTATTCTATGAACTACTGACAGCATGTTTCCGAAATTCCATACAAAAACTGAGAAATGGTCAAAATAACGAAAAAGATGCAACACTTTCAAACCTCAAATAATGCAAATGAAACAAGTTAATTTTCTTTTAGAAACAATACTAATGTTTTAACTCAGGATGAGTTCATAAATCAACATTTGGTGGAATAACCAGGAGGTTCACTGCAGTAGGCTCTTCATTTTTTCCTTAGCTGAACTATTGCTCTCCAAAGAGTCCTTTGTGATGTGAATATTGTGCACAATGACATTACTATAATGATATATTTGCGAACTATTGTGCATCCCTAAATCGGATTTGCCGTGATCCGTTGCAGATCTGACTTTTTAGAGAAATTGTGCAGAATATTTTTTTGTTTCAATTCAAAAGCTGCCATATTAGAGTAAGTCTGCAGACTTCCCAGAGACATGTACCATCAACATGTCCTGTATTTTTGGAAGCCGTATCAGATATGAATGTCAAGCCAAGCAGCTGGGCTGCACAGTGAGCCTGTGAGGAAGCCAAATAAAAAAGTCGTTCAGCAGAGCTGCTGCAGCTGCAGCCGCAGCTACAAACTGTAAATATAGACTATGGAATACATTTTTATCCAGGATATTCTGAACTTTTTTTCACCCTTTCTTTGCAGATGCTAATACAATTTCTGAATTTTCTCTCATGTTGATCCAACCCTGACCTCTCCTTTATATTTCTGTGTGTTCGTGTTTCTGGCCCATCCAGTATGAGCAGTTTGAAAGCACCATTGGGTTTAAGCTTCCGAATCACAGAGCCGCCAAGAGACTGTGGAAGGTCTGCATTGAGCACCACACCTTCTTCCGGTGAGAAAAACATTTCAGATTCAGTTCTCATTAGCATTTCTGCACCAACAGTCCCTGGCAAAAGTATTCACTCTAGTTCAAACCAAAAAAAATCATCTGGTTTTTGGTAGAAAGAGAAAAACAATAAATCACGTAAATGACGGTTATTGAGTGTGCTTTAATTTATCTTACAATTACTTGATTTATTGCTTATTGCGTCAGGTGCAACCATGACAGGGTCAATTCCTATTTATTTTGGGACGACGTTCCCAGAATTCCTTTGAAGTTGTTAGCAGAACTCATTACTGAAGTAAAATATTGTTGCTGTCAGTAGTGAACTTTTCTGAATTTAACTGTTTATGTTGTAGTTCAGACAATGAAAATACAGTTAGCCTTTCTTTCTTTCTTTCTTTCTTTCTTTCTTTCTTTCTTTCTTTCTTTCTTTCTTTCTTTCTTTCTTTCTTTCTTTCTTTCTTTCTTTCTTTCTTTCCAAATGTTCTGTTCTAAAGCTCTCTCTCTCTCTTCATTTTTGTGTCGTGTAGAAACGTGTGGTGTTTTTTGTTTCCACAGCCTGGTTTCTCCAGAGCCTCCTCCTAAGGGCTTCTTGGTGATGGGCTCCAAGTTTCGGTACAGTGGAAGGACGCAGGCTCAGACCAGACAGGCCAGCGCCCTCATTGACCGCCCGGCGCCTCACTTTGAGCGCTCCGCCAGCAGAAGGTACCTGCTGTCCAGGAGCTTGGATGGTGGTGAGTAACTTTGCCTAATGAAGCACCAAAAGAGAGATACAGCGCAGGGTTATTCAAAGCTTTTGCCACAAACTACGAGGTGGTTCATCTGATTTTTATGTTAAATGAGCACAAAGTTGTACAAAACTGAAGAGGGGAGAAAGTAATACAGGCAAACATTTTTTTTACAGTGATGTTTTTTATTCAGCCACTTTTACTTTGATACAGTTACGTAAAAAAGACATCATAAATAGTTCTTATCGTCACTTTTACTGTTATCACAACAGTACTTCAAAATATGGAGATAAAATGCGAAGTAGCTCAGATAGCTAATAGCTGCAGCTCGCTGTCTTCTCCTGTTTGAAACCTTGGCCTTTCTGATCCAAGCAGAGTTCTCGCGGCCTGTGTCGTCCATGTGCGAGAACCACGACGGTCTGTCCCGCCGCAGCGCCAGCGAGCAGCGCCGCCTCCGCAGCCCTTCGGTGGACGAGCAGGAGCAGGAGGCGGAGCTGGAGCCCAGCCTGGAGCAGGACGAGGATGACAGGGACCCAAATCAGAGCCAGGACATGGAGCAGGACAAGGACCAGGACGGCAACACCACGCCGAGCAGAAAGAGGGAAATCAGGGTGAGGAAGCTTAGCTAGTTTCAAGTCAGCTCTGGCTTCTTGAAGTGCAGAGCTGGACAGGAACTGCTGAAGTGATGATGTAAATACAAGCAGAATTAGAAGCTTCTCACTACAACTCAGGTGAGAAGCAGCTTTGCTAGGCTAATGCTAGCCTTTTCTAACTCTTCTCCTTTCACTCCTGTTCACCCAGCTTTCATGCCTTGACTGCACTCCTTATTAATCTGGGTTACTTCACAGCGCATAAAGCTGCAGTCTTTTTTTTTTTTTTTTTTTTACATGTTTCCTAAAACTGTCACCATGTTGTGACAGCATGTTATGAGACAGGTAATCTGTGAAAAGATAGATCACCTCTACCTAGCCTTAGCATTCACTGGGAGCTGCACACAAACGGGCATCATTGACAGTACTGAGACCCGCCTCCACTTGGTTCTTAACGGTTATTTCTGTTTAGCACTGGTAGCACTGGAAGAAGGCAAAGGAGCTTAATTTCTCCCTCTATATTTAAAAAAGTATTTTTTTTAAAATAAAAGTTACATACTGCAGCATTAACTCTTTCTGAGGCTGGAGCCTGGCCTTCTGTCTCTAACACTAGTTCTCTGTTCTTCAACCCTTGCTGGCAATAAGGAGGAGGCTGGCTCCCCAGCTGACAGTAAACAGGAGGTATTTGGTGTCTGTTTATTGGTCTGCACGATGTTTTCAACTATCCATCAGTAAATCTGTCAGATTCTACCTCAGCCCTTAAATGTTCATCTTCCACTTTGCGAGTAAGGCCTCCAAAAAAAGCATCAGTGAAAGAATTTAGCGTCATTACATAATGTATGTAATTTATAGCTGCATGAAAATGGAACGGCAAGTGTTATATTTCAATTTCAGTTCAAATTTATTTCTACATGCACCTCGTCTCAAAGCGCTTTACACACAAAGCAGTCAGCTTAGCCCAATCCTGCAGACCTATGTCTATTTATTCAACAATTTAGCACCAAACTGGATTTTGGATCAATAATATTGCTTATTTTGCTGATGTTCGGTTCTGTTTTAAAATGCAATTAATTACAATAAATAATCACAGACACTCTAATTAACATGAATAAAAAAATTAATCTAGTCCCACCAGTTAGTCTTAATTCCTGGTACTGGTTGTATTACGATGGTTGGTATCAACCAGGTTGTGCTGATTGAACCCACTGATAAACTGATAAACTGACACCGTCACTAGTTGAAAGAACAGAAAAGTTTCTATTTTAGGTTTTCATAGACTTATTCTCAACTAACCACCAAAAGTATTTAATACCCTACATGTTTCTATAAGGGAGACAAAAACAAAACATTGGCTATTACACACAACTGAAAAATGGGGAAATAACAAAACAGCAAAAATTAATTCCTAGACTATGGCACTGTTAAAGGCAGAATAGTTGACCTGTGTCCAATGGGAGAAAGTTTATTTCGGTTAAAGTTGAACCAACTTGAACTTGGACAAAATTTCACTCCTATTAACCATTTCTGTTAAGATAACCAGGATAACCAGGGAAAACCAACCCATTTTCATGGAAAACATTCAGCCTCTAGAAAACCTTTGTCAACATTTCATATAAAACTGTCCTGACTTGTTCTTTTGTGCAGCGCTTCATGGGTTCATCTGAGGTCTTTCGTTGTATCTTCATGCTTTCCATTGTCTCAAATTCCAAAATGTATTTTCTCTCAAAGCACTTCCTCCATCTTGTTTCTTCACCTTGTCCTTTTACTGTATGATCTTGCACTCTTCATCTCTTGCACGCCTGTTCTCCTGCCCCAACTCGGCTCTCTCAGTTGGACCAGGAGACCACTCCTCGGCACAAAAAGGAGGTACAACTTCCATGGATTTGGCTCTAGCGATGTCTGCTTTTGCTTCTGTCTCTTTAACTTGCTGATAATTTATTGCATCCATAAAAGGATGTATTATATTTTGCTCAAGTGTCTGTGAAATATCAGTAGTTTGATTTATTCAACCTTAAAACAAGTGCTTAGATTTAATAGTTCTCAGTTCTACAAATGCACATTCCTAAGACAAACTTTGAATTTGTCTTTATTCCTTTTAGCTTCATTGCTAAAAGGAATAAAGCTTCACTATGGTTCACACTTGACAATGTCTCAATTTCTCCTTGAATGACTAAAATAATTATGGAGCTGCCAGAGAAATAAAAAAACAAAAAACGTGGTTAAGGAGCATTTCACTCAGAACTGTGAAAAATGTCAATACTCAAGAGAGTATTAAATTATGGCGCTACATGACTGCATCATTGACTTTGTCATCACTCCAAGCACACAAACAAACCAAACAAAACCTTAATAGGAAGCAGAATTTTAATCAGCAAGCAAATTAATAGATGTTTCATATTCATTTTATCATTGAACTTTGGAGCGAGAGCTAGATTAAAATGCTTGTTTGTATCTCTACAAGCAATTCAGCTGGAACCAAAATTTTTTTTTTTTTTTTTTTTTTTTTTTTTGGCCCAGTAGCATTAAAGGAGACAAAATAGAAGAGACACAAGCAATAATCTGCTCTCAGCCCGAGTTTAAGCCGATCTTTTGGTGCACATTCCAGCATACGCAGCATTGTCTCCCCGCCTTTTCCTGGTAATGTGAGTTCTATTGTTTAAAGCAAGACATTGTGAATTACTGCTAATGCCTTCCTCTGTCTTGTGGTGTCCTCCAGTTTCTTGATAAATCTCAGGACGTCTTGCTGAAGCACCAGGCCAGCATCAACGAGCTGAAGAGGGCCCTGAGGGAACCCAACAGCAAGCTGATGGCCAGAGAGAAGCGTCTCTCTGCGACGTCTCCGACGGGAACGCCAGAGAAGAAGGCTGTGAGTAAGGGTAGTGATCGGGTTGCTCTGTGGCTGCCAGTTCTAACACTTGACCCTCTCTGAGAAAGGCCATTGATAGTTTTTATCTGGATGCTTGAATGTTCAATTCTAAATGACTTGCTTTCAAGATGACCTGATTTTAACCCAGACAGTTATGGAAAGTAAAGAAAAGTTCTGCATAATTATAAAGTAGAATGTAAAAGATAAATAGTTTATTTTGATCTTTTTACAAATACAGAAATCTGAGTATGCATTAATTTAAGGCTGAGTTAAGCAAATTACAAGAATAGAGTCATAATACTATAAGAATAAAGTTGTAATATTACAAGAAGTCATAATATCATGACTTTACTTGTTTTATTTCAACTTTTTTCTTGTATGACTTTTTTCTTATCACTTTATTCTCATATAAATTTATTTTCATAATGTCATGACTTTACTCTCATAATATTGACTTTATTTTTATAATTTTATAATTTTGTTGTCATAACTTTATGTTTTTTATATTTAATTTGTTCTTGGTATGGCCATAATATTCCGTGGTGGTATTCAACTCCCCCTGTCAATACTGCTTCTGTGATTACAATAATCTTTTAGTCTTGCTGCAGATTCTCAAATGGATTCAGCTCTGGGCTTTGTCTAGGCCCTTCTGGAACATAAACATGCTTTGCTCTTTTCTAACCATTCCCCTGCAGATTTGGCTGCGTGTTTATTGCCACTATCTTGCTTTAAGGTGTACCTCCTACTCAGTTCCAAGTCATTTAAATGGGTTTTCCCTCCAGCATGACACTGCCACCACTATGTTTCACTGTAGGGATGGTGCTTTCCATCATTATGCATTTAGCCCAAAATGTAAAATGTTGAATTTTACATTTTGTTCTACCTGTTTTTCCATAGAAGTCATATGAATAGCCAACTTAGTCAAAGTTGGTAATTGGTTGTACTGGATTTTACTTTGGGGTATAAGAGTAATGGTGGGGTTTAATACAAAAGTATTTCACAATTCTCTGATTTTCTTTTTGTAAAAAAAATGAAAACCATCAAAAACGTTCTGGCCACTTTAACACTCTTTGTGTTTGTCTATCACATAAAATCACTTGCACTTCTCATGTTTGAGTTGTGCATTCATGTGACTTAAACAGTGTAGAAAAATGTCAAGGAGAATTAACAAGATTAGTAAAGCCTGGGTTTCCCTTCATGCACTTCAAATAGCTCTCTCCCTCTGTGGAGATGTTTACACCTACAGAAACAATCGGGCACATTTCACTTTCAGACGTATTTAATAGAGTGCATTTTGTGTTGCTCAAGAGTTCCAGGTGTAATCCCTTTAATATCTTGGAGATATTTGTGGCTGGTACTTAATTTGTGGTCTTTGAAAAGAGATTCTCGGTCATGTCTTTCCCCCTTTGATTGCTAATTAGCGACAGCGTTCTTTCTGCCAAATTACAAAAATCGTTTAAGCTTTTATCCCATTCTGGAAACTGAGATTGGAAATCGGATGATGCTTGTGTTTCCCCGTACCTAAGCTGCCCCTCAGTCAATATCTCATTCGCTGTCTGTATCAATCAGATTAAGTTGGAGAAATGTCAAATGTTGTCTGCAATAGAAAATCCAATCAGCAGTGCGCCTCATGCCAGAGAAGCGCCGGTGTTATTGTGTTACTGTGAGGAGAATGCTTGGATCTGTTACACTTTTTAGACTCTGCTCTTTGATGTGGTTTCACAAAAATAATGTCTGATGAATTCATTCCTTTACTTTTGGAATGTTTGTTTCTGAAGGTGTTTAACACACCAACTGAGTTCCTTTAGCTAATGTATTCAATATCCATTCAACTATTACTAAATGTTTGTTGAATAGTCGTAAAAAGATTATAAAAACGCAAATGCCTTTTAATATTCAAAGTAAATGTTACAACATGAAATATTTGGTTAACTGCATGAACCCTCACAGCAGTGGTGGGCAGGTACTAATCATAAACGTTAGTTCCGCTAAAGCGCTACACCAACACATTATTTAGTGGAAACTAATGCTAAAGCGCTAACGTCAATTCGGACTGTCTGCCCTTGAAAGACTCCAACCCTCGAACCCCAATTTAATTTTGACAATATGATTTACATTTTCTATTATGCCCTTATATATTGCATTTTGGTATACATCTTGTTCTCTACTGTCCATGTTTTATTTTAGTCCTATATAATTTATGTTTGAAATAAGGTTATTGGGGAAAAAGGACAGAAAGTAAGAAAAGTAAACAGGATTGCTGCATAAGCAGTTTTCACCCATTTTAAATAAGAGAATGAATATAAATGTCTACAACTACCTGAAAATGTCTTTAAGTCTACAACCAAACAGATGGTGATCTTTATTGAACTGAAAGTTTACAAAACAACCAAGTAAATTAGCACTTCAGAATTTATGCGGAAAAACAAGTGAACAGGAAGCTAACTGCACTAAATATTTTCAGAGTTAGCTAAAGCACCAAGCTAATAGAGTGCTTTAGCGGAAATAAGCCTGCCACTGCCTGACAGCACTATTAAATTATTCAGTTCATGGTTCATTGTTTACTCTGATAATTTGCGCTGAATAAAGTCAGCTAATGTTCCATAGACCGAACAATAGCAGCTGGTAGCTAGCCTCCAACAGGCCTCCAAATGACCAATTAGTACCAGTAGAATAGTTTTTTGGACAAATAATCTTCAAGCCTTACTTTTGGAAAAGGCTGGCTTACACACATAAGTAGAGCTGGATGATGGTGTCAAAGAGGTACCCATTCCCTCATGTCTTTACGAACAAATCAACATCAATATCTTGGTTTGCACATGAATGAAGCCACCAGTTTCATTAGAGCGAAGTCTAGTAATTCCTTTAGCTCATGCGGCATTAAGTAAAAACACCAAGTCGAGCCGCCACTGATCTTCATTAATTTGCTCTTATTTTGGACATTTTGTAACAAGGAGAAACTCCTTAATCTCTGGACATAGCTCTCCAAATCTCTGCAAGACTTCCCCTCTCCAGCTAAGCCGTCTCACGTCGGTGTGTAACGGGAGTCCGGAGCAGTTGTGTCTGCTCCCCAACAGCTGTCTTTGAAAGGATCTAGAACAAGGGATTTTGTTGCCACATCTATTATCTCCTTCATGTTTGTCATTTCTGTGCATAATGCTTGTCAAAGTATTATGCAATGATAATTAGAGGAAGTCTGGGAAAGTGTTGTCCTGCCTGAGTAATACTGTTACCAGCGCCTGTTCTGCATTCACAACAAGGCTGCAAAATGACAGAGATAATAGATGTGGCAACAAAATCCCTTGTTCTAGATCCTTTCAAAGACAATTGTAGGGGATCGGACACAACTGCTCCAAACTCTTGTTACGCACGGCTTTGTGGGGGAGGTGAAATCTTGCAGAACTCCGGTGACTTGACTAATTATTGTGAAGAACACTCTCAACATCTCTCCAGAGCTGCTGCATCAAACCGTCACCCATCCTTTCACAGCTCTGTGTAACCACTTGTGACAATTCCGACAAACGTACTTCAAGAATGACATGATGATGAATAAGCAGTGGTTTCATTCCCTATTAAAATGGTATGCTTTTGGTGTGACTGGCAATTATAGTTTATCTAGTCACTTAGCAGATATAAGGCCTGGAAAGCTAGCAGGCCTTATATAGGCCTTATATCTGTCTAAGCAAAACTCATGGAGTTTTGCTTAGACTTGCTTCATCTTCATCATGCTAACTTTGAGATGGAGATGCTCAATATATCGGCATTGACATTGATATCACCCAATGTAAGTCATCAAGTAAAACTGGGCTGATATTAACAACCAATGCTTATTTCCATCTTGTTGCCATTTGAATATGTGTTTCTGGAAGGGGAGTCGAGGGTGTTGGCCATGTGGTATTTGTTTGGTCATGTGACGGTAACGGTGATGCAGCAAAGGATTGCTGGGAGTTTAATTGAAGTAGAGAAGCAAGGTCTGCAGTGTGGTTGTTTTTGAGTCGAGAGGGTAGTGATATGTATGCAATATTTAGGGCTAGGACTTTAATCTTTTCATTTTGATTAATTCATTACATAAATTTCAATGTGTTAAAATTTGTAATGCAATTATTCAAGTTTTTTTTTTTTTCAATCAATTATTTTTTCATGCTAAAGAAACAAACAAAGGTTCCAGTCCTGAGCTGGAACATTTACATCTCATGTCTGGTACCACTGTAAATCTGACACACGAGTGGAATTTGCTAACAACAATTGGCAACAAATCTGCTTCTCTTGGCCAACTGGGGATTTATTTTTGCTTCAAAAAACGATCTGATTGGACACTGGAAAACAGTATTGATGTGTTCAAGTTATCCTAATAGGAGTTAGCCTATCAGCAAAGCTATTCCAACCTGATATTGCATCATCGCAATGCTAAATATGAAGCAGCAGCACAGACGTCCCCATTGGTGATATCAGCATAGATGGTCCTATTCTCAAAAAACAATAGAGATCTACGCAAAGAATTTTTATGTTAAGACAATGTAGCAAAATTTAAAGAACAGCTGACAGGCTGTCCATTATGATGCTATACCTAATAACTTTTTTTTAAAGATCAAGACCCTCCTCCCACTACTGGTTGGTTCCAGTTGATGCTAAGCAGGGTGAAATTTTGGTTTTGGTTGAAAGGTCAACGGGCATCTTCATAAAGATTATCGATTCATAAGTGCAGTTCAAGGGTTCAAATGTGCTTACTGAGCCTGGATTTAAACAAGTCAAATTTTCTCCATATTTTATTTGCTAAAGGACTGGCCAACCATTAACAGGCATTAACAGATTTGAACAGATATGGAGTTTGAAGGGTTGGTTAAGCCACTGAAACACTGACTCTCTCTGCCGTTTCTATTTTCCTCCTTTTGCATGAAATGATGATGACCTCTAACTGTTGTTCTTCTTTCTCTCCTCTGCTGCGTGTCGGCCAGTTGGGGGGTCGTTCAGTGGGAAAAGACGCTGTTAACAGCCCTTCTGTTGAGGGCTTCGTCCAGAAGGCTCTGGTCACTTCACCTGAGGTTCCACATCTTTCACTGCTCCTCTTCATGAAACACTTTACTGTTTGTAGAGATGACCATGCAAAGCACGTCTCAGCATGCTCCAGTTTCAACCTTTTTATCATTTGTTTCTACTGAATTCTAGTGAATATAATTACATGAGAAACAACTGAAATGTTTCTTCATTGTAGTAAATCAAACAGTTTTTATACATCGTGTAAAGAAAAAATACGTTCAGAGTCATATGTTTTGGTAATTCTGAGGATTATGGCATACGGCTAATTAAAACTCTAAAGTCAGCTCCTCCGAAAAAAATTATTACATAAAACCAACTTAAAAAATATATCAGTCACCGGTGACGACCACACGATCTGCCTGTTTGAGCTCGCCGTCAACGCGTCGCCACACAGAGAAACCGGTCTGATGGAGTCGAGCGTTCTCTGCAGACAGGAGTGGACTCACCTGATGGAGCCAAAGCGAGTTTGAACTTTCCACTAACTTTCTAACAGACATTGATGTTACTGTGTATGTCCATGTTGTGGCTTATGCGGTCTAAGAGGAGACAGCTGAACTTGTCCAGCAGACAATCATTTCATTGACATCCTGCTGAAGGAAGATAAACCACATAAGGTCATTGCCTAAGAAGCCAGGTGTTCAGAATGCTGTCTCCAAGCATGTTAATGGGAAACTAAGTGGAAGAAAAAAGTGTTCTATCCAAAAATTTTGGCGGTGATTCACAAGACATGGACTGCTGCTGAGGTCGGTGCTTCAAGAGCCTGGAGGAAGACTAAAGAGACAGGATCCAAGTTGTCTGAGTCCAACGTTAAGTTTTCAGAGTCAGTGATGATTTGAGGAGCTTAAAGTCAGCTCAGTTATTTACTATGTAATATTAGAATACTTCATGATTTCACAAGCATAATCCCCAGCAGGCATGCAAACCACTGAAAGTACAGATACCTGGTTTAATGACGATGGAACTGTGCTGGAACTCTAGAGTTCTATATTGTAAGGAGGGAGGAAACACACCAAACCCTAATGTACTGTTACCTTCAGTTGTTATGAAAATGCTGCACTGAGAAGTAGTTCATATGATGAGTTCAGCAGACTCATAACTCCACAAGATGTTGGAAAATTGCTGCTCCTGCTAGTCTGAAGGGTTGCTCTGTGAGGCAGAAGCTTGGCTGGAGACTGCAGCACTAAGGAGGAGCTTTGTGGAAATAGGCAGAGTTTTGTGAGAGCAAGCATTTAGGCCACCCTGAATGGTTGCCACTGAGGATTCAAGGATTTCTCAAACATGCATTAAAGAATCAAGGCAACTCTCCAGGTATGTTTTAGATGGTATGTCATTATGACACGACATTAAGATCGTGTCAAAAATGTCAATTTTACAATACCCTACCTTAAACACTTTAGCTGGGCCAAAGCCTCGTTCATCATGTAATTCTTTAATGATTCTGTAATTATGCAAAGGGAGTCCCAACCAATTATTTAGTGCATATGCGATACAGGACATGGATGTAAATTTCATACATCATATTGTGATTGTCTGAGAAGCTGGATTTTGACTTTTCATTTGCTGTAAGCCATAATTATAAAATATATACAATTTACCTACTGAATTGAATTTCTTTTGGATGACATTCTAGTTCAGTAGGAGGCATCTACTGAAATGTTTTTGTCCATAAGCTGCATGCTTTACACCCATTTATGAGATGGAGACCATTTTGTAGATTTTATTGTTTGCTAGCAGTTGTACCCAGAATGTCTAACTGTGCTTAATCTATACCAACATGTAGGGCTCTGAGGAGTGGGTATTGATTGAAAAACAGCAACCTTATCAACCAGACCATGACTGGAGGGCAGAAGAAAAGAATAAATCTCACATATCCGATTCCTCGTGGGACAAAAAGGGGCTGGAAAAGGAGATAGACATTACCAAAATGATACATAAAGAGGAAGAAGGGTATAACAGAAAAGAAGTGAAAAGCCATATTGACGAATTTCCCTCAGCAAGAACATCCAGAGAGGCAGCTGTATGCTCTGAGACTTGGCCTTCTGCGATTCAATTACCTGAGAATGTAGACTGGTTACAAGACAAATCTCAAAGTAAACTCTCTCAAGCCTCAGGCCCCAAGGCAAACAGTGATGCGGCTCCAGGCTCGCGCCAGATAAAGGAAAAGATGGGCTCTAAACTGAGGAAAAAAGGCCGACCCCAGAGCCTGAATGTGGGAATCCCCGCAGAGCTCAACAGGAAGTCAGGGAGTGATTCCTCCGGAGAGGAAAACGAAGACTCCGACTCGGACAACATGTCAGAAAAAACATCTAAAAGAGGAGATCAGGGCAATGCCTCCCCAGTAATCATGAGGAAAGACAATCAGGGACTAACAAAGGATCAATTTGTTGGTGTATGCAAAGACAACAGGAAAGAGGAATTTGGAGAGGGCAAAGAAGTTTCCAGTCAGGTGAAGCGAAAGGTCAACCAGATGGGAATGGCAACCATTGATTTAGGCATGTTAAATGGACCAGGGAAAATAGAAGATGATAGTTCTTTACCTAGTGGCAAAGTAGAACATGTGGTGAAGGTACGAGGAAAGGGCCTCATCGACAACAAAGAGCTAGCGGAGGTAAAACTTCGACAAGTCCGAACGCATGAAAGAAAGGTCAGCAGCTCTGGTGGTGAGGACGTTGAAGGTTTCTTGGGTGACAGAAGTCAGAGGATCTCTCTCCACCGGCTGTCAGGCAGCAGCTACCAGTCAGAGATCACCAGGATTGTCCCCCTGAAGCCAGAGCGCTCAAAGAGTGTCGCATGTAAGGACGAAAGGGACCAACTGGGGCAGGAAGAGTTCACGCGACTTGTCAAAAGAGAATATCGCTGGTCAGTCGGTTCTCCGGAGGGATCCTCTGACCTCCACTGGACTGACATCGCTGGCTTCCACTCAGCCTTCCCCGGAGACCCGGAGGGTTTTGCCAAAACAGAAAATCTTGACGAAGGCTTTCAGGCCAGTAGAGGCTCTATGGAGAACCAGCAGTTTAGTTTAAAGGGTTCAGCACTTCCAAAAATGGCTCCACCAGCTCCGCCAGTGAAAACGCAGAAAGCCAAGGAATCCGGACTAATTCTGAGGAATAGCAGAAATGCCGGCAGGGAGCAGAGCCTGGATGCAGCCAAGAAGAGACACTCGGTAACTCTGCTTGGCATCTACTATTCATTGGAGATAGAGCATGAGCTTCAGACGAACTTGCACACCATGTATTTATTTCAACAGTTTGTTATCTGACACACTCATCCATCTTACCTGTTTGTGACTGTTGAAGGAGCATGCACTAAGGGCTAGCTGAAGGTTAGCCGGAATGTTTGGACAATGTCCTACATAGCTACCCAGTTTGTTCTATTCCATTTCTCTTGACATGCACCACACTGTGCAGCATGTCTGCCATATTTGCACTGACTGTGAAGGTTTGGAAAGACAAAAGACATATATATATATATATATGTCTTTTAAAACTTAACAACCTTGAGTTTTACTTAACTCTGCAGTCTTAGTGCGATGCTTGGGAGGGTGACCCTTCAGACCAGTTCCTGAAATAACACACACAAAAGTCTTGTCGAAGCACACGTGGTTGTGCTTTTACATTTTACATTGTCCCGGTTGAGACAGGGACAGAGTAAAAAGCTAGCTGGATCCAAATGACCCTTAAGACCACGGGAGGTTGAAGGTTTATGAGAATCTCTGATACCTGTTATGTCTTCTTCAAACAAAAAAGGCAAAATGATCAAATACAAATTTAATTAAATTTAATAAACTGCGCATTTGAGAATTACCTCCATCTTTTTCAGGGGGTAAGCTATTATTTTTAAAAAATCAGAAAGAAGCTTAGCATAGCATGCTTGGAAAGTGATTGAAATTCTTTATGATTAAACTTTCCAGACTAATGTCAATCTGAACTTGAACTTTTAGAATCTGCAGATAAAAAAAGAAAAAATGTATGAAAATCAGCAATGTTGCACATTTTGGGCAATTATTTCCTTCAAATTCACCTGAATGGAAAGACAAGTAGTGATAGAAACATCCGACTGTGAAACCTCAGTAGGCAGTGAGTAGCCAAACAAAGCAGTTCAGTGCCTGACTAAGTCAGATTTCCTGCTTGTCATTCCACTGCCGCTACATCATCGAGAGTTTGCACACATTTGGCTCTGGAATGAATTTTGAAAAGAAGAGACATGACACCTTTCATCTTTTTCCACCTTTTCATCCAAGTTGAGCTCTTGCGTAATGGATTAAACAGGGATGAGACGAGGTGTTGCTCAGCTCTTGGTGTAACGATCATATCAACATCTGATTGAACTCAGGGAGTGTGGGAAAATAGAGGCAGCTCCATCTAAGCATATAGGTCAGGCCATTCTCACAGATTTCAAAATACGTTCAGCAACACTTTTTAAGACTTTTGTCCAATTTTCTGCTGACTCTCTGATGTGCAAAGCTTTGCAACCAACTGGATCCCATGGAAAAAAATGACACTGGTTGATTGTTGCTGACACTTAGGCTTGCTGGTGCTGGTAGAACAAACTATGCGTTATAGAAGTTTGTGTAGGAGAAAAAAGAATCTCACATATTCCCAGTTTTTGCAGGTGTGTCCAAAGTGTGCCCCAGGGACCAGCTGTGGCCATGTGAAGGATTTTGTCTGGCCTCTGATCGCAATTCAAGAGACAGATTAACTTTTTTATTATTATTTCTGTTTTATTTCCCATGTTTACAGTTAAATACTTATGATGTATTAAATACAACCCCAATCATTTCATGTCCACAACAATTAAAGTAGATGTAAAAAGTACTGACTCATTACGTTTTTCACAAAATTATACCTATCTTAGGGAAAAGCCCCACTAAAAATTGGAAATTATATGTATGGTAATATTACATCACTTTTGTTTAGGATCAATTTTGTTTAGGATTTCTATATTCTTTTTCTTTTAAAATGTACCAATATTTTGTTCATTGAAATCATGCATGTTTTGTGTATTTTGTGTTGACAAATAAAAATTAACAAGATTTTTTTTCTTTTGATCCCCCACAAATTGGACAATTTTGGCTCTCATTGCAAACGTTTTGATACCACTGGTCTATACTAACCCCTGGGTTCTCTTTGCAATCTACATGCTACATATGTTGCTGTTGCTCTTGCTACCAAGGAGGTATACAAGATGTGCCATTAATTTTTCAATTTGAACATCTGAATAAAATCACAGACTTAGTATAGTAAAATTTTGTACTTTTACTATGCCTCCAATATGGTGGCACTCAGTTTGATGACATCACCTGTAAACTCTCTGGTAGCCATTTCAGGTTGGCTAGCTAGCCATGCGTCATTCTGTGAGCCACTAACAATCAACCTGTTGTGTCACTTGGCCATATGATTATGTTGGTTGCTGCCCTGTCTTTACGTGACTACTATTACACAGACAGCACATCTAAACTGTATTATTTTCTTCTGACTCTGCTAATTATAACTACTTGCTTAGATCCTGTTTGTGTTTTATCAGATTCACCTCTTAACTGTTCTCCAGACTGAATGCTGTGTGCTTTGGTAGTGGGAAGTTGTCCTTTGAAATTTGTGCCTAGATTCATATGTAGCAGACTTGGATCTGGCTGAATTTCAGACCTAAACTTAGGCTTATGAGAAACAGAAGATTTATCAGTGTTTGACCAAAGTGTTGAACAATTCCTTTCAATTTAAGATTCAGAGTTTAGGTTTACTCTCCACGTAGCCTATGTGATGCTTGGAGTTTTGTGTCTGCTTGGCTGTCAGTCCTGTTCAGCTGTACTAATCTTCCATTGCTCCCTTTGCTCTTTCCTTTGCTTCCCCCTGCAGGAGCCCGTCTCTACTCCGGCCATATATGAAGAGCCATTTGGTGACCTGAAGGTTATTCTTTTACGAACCCAAGTTTGAATGCTCACCCATCATCTCTTTCCCTCTGCATCTCTCTTAGCTCACAAACACTTCCAAACCCGCAATGGAAACTGTTTCCTGTCAAAAAATGTCAGTACTTTTAAAAGCTGTAAGAAACAGTCCTTGTTTTCACAGGCAACATTATGATAAATTAATGTGCGAATCCCTTGTGATTTGTTGCCTCTAAAATGATGTAGTTTATTAAGCTATTTCATTGTGTTTTTTAATCTGTATTTTGAAATGAAACTAGCTAGCTACCTAGCAGAACACTCAAAGTTAGCTATTCTCAGTACCTGTACGTCGCGTAAAAATTAACTCAAGTTGCTGTAAGACACAATTTAAAAGAAAATAGTAACTATTTAAAGCTTTCTATGACATTGCAAGACAAGACAAGACAAAACTGTGGTTAATTTTGGATGTGACAGAATGAGAAAAAGCAAAACTTTAGCAGATAACAGGAAGGATGAACGCATTTTAAATGTTATTCTTTTGAGATTTTAGCCATATTTCCATCCAAAATGATGGAAATATTGACAGAATTTCAATAATCTTAGAGAAGAGGTAATAATCTCATAAGAACAGAGTACTGTTTTAGTAATGCTAGCCATGCTAATCACCAATGCAAGATGCTAAAGCTACTTTACAATCTCCTCTCCATAATCAATTTCACTCATTGTGCAATTTCCCTTTTGCTCCTGATATAAATAATTACTCACTAGTCACATGAAAAGGTTGAAATGTTTGCATTTCAGTTTTTGTGATAGAATTCTTTAACAGAAATTGTTTTAGGCTAAAGGCAGCATTAACAGGTCAAAGCCTCACAATTGTTGGAGATTGGATATGGAGCACATAAATTCTGACTGGTAATATAAGTTATAACTTTGTTGACTTATGTTACTATTGATAGTGTTGTACCATGTTTGTCCTCTAAAGTTGCTACTCAGCTTCCCAGAAGCTCAGCAGATCAGCACTCTGTCTGCTCTGAACACATGCTGAGCTGCTGCATCATCTAACCAGCCTAATGCGCTACTATCATTCATTTCCATCATGACTTCATACTGTGAGCAATTGGCTGCATTTTATCTCCACATTTAGAGCTAAGAGTGCCAGCATGGAACCTAAGGCACAATGTTCCTGTTATATAACGTTTATTTCCCCTTTCCAGTTAGTTTTTTTCTTTTATTTACATTAGTAAACTGCAAAAGAATGCTTCAAAAAACGTATGTGTATATCTTCCTGTTTATCTCGGTAGCCTGTTTATTGTCCAGCCTGGCCATTGCCTTCCTGTGCTATTCCACTCGATTTAAATCTTGCTTCACAGCTTTCTCCCGTTCACTTGAATTCCTCTTGTTAGATTTCTACCAGATTGGTTGTCGTTTTCTACACTGTTTTAAAATTGTAGTCTGCTTGTGGTTCTTATCTATGAAAGCGGAGGAAGTGAAGGAAGCCGTTCAGTCCGTGTTGGCCACGCTTCTAAATATTGAATTAGCATTAACAGCCACCTCATTTGGATCAGCACTTCTCTCTTCACAGTGGAGGATGGTTGTTCTTTTTACCATGCTAATAAAGAAATTATTGTAATAATTTCTTTATTAATTTCTTTGGAACCAGTCTGATGTCCCGTGTCACCTCACAGGCTTTGTAGATTTCAAATCAAGTGGATCCTCCCCCAGCCCCATCTTCTTATCTGATAATCCTTCATTCCACATATTTTTCATTTGGTCTTTTTTCATTGCATGCCCTCTGTCTTCGGACTCTTCATCAAATGCATCATCCAGCCCCTGTGTAACTACAAGGTTGCACTCCCCACCATGTCCATCAACCACAACGAAGTCATGTAATAACACAGAGGCGATCCTTTGTCTGTGCTCACACCAGAAAGAGTCCGAGGAGAGGAGGCCTCAGCCAGGCCTCGCCTCGGAGGAGGAGCAGGAGCGGGACACAGTGGCCTCTATGAGGGACACCCAGCTGGGCATCGAGCGAAAATGCTCCAGCATGACGGTCAGCTCCACGTCCAGCCTAGAGGCAGAGGTGGACTTCACTGTCATCACAGACCTCCATTCTGGGACGGAGGACTTTTCCAAGGGTGGGTCCGAGTTCGGGGAGCGGGAGCAGCAGCCGGAGGTCGGACGGGAGGACTTTGAGGAGACCTCCAGGTTCTACTCGGCCCGCTTAATGGGCTCCAGGGATAAGTTCCCGATGGAGGAGAGGCTTCCTGAGGAGGGGACCCATCATGAGGTAGACAGACGAGTGGCGCCGGCCCTCATCCTCATCATCACATTCTGGATTCATCCTGCCTTGCTGGAAATGCTGCCATTCTGATTCTTATGTTTTATTTATTAGCATTTTCTGTTTTTGACTATTTCATTATGTTCCATTTTTCCCGGTTTGATTCAAAGCCTCGTTTCTTCTCTTTTTTGTTCAATTAAACATTCCACTGAATCTTTACATCATCATTTGCTGTTATTTTTGCACGAAGCACCTAATAAAAAATTGTTTTACAGTTTGTACCTTCAAACAAAGTGGGTTTTTGTTTGTTTGTTTGTTGTTTTTTTTAATAGCTATGGGAAACAACTGGCTGCAGTCGGTAGTAAGTTTACTGTGTGTTCGTTTCGCAGCCTCCAGTGGCCAGGAAAGATGCCAGTGCTGTGAGTGTGGCCCACAAGCTGAAGCGGACCGACACCAATGGAGCCGAGGTTCACCAAAACATCACAGATGTTTCACCACAAGTAAGCAAAAGTATTCACATGCCCTTGAACTTTTTCACATTTTGTCCTACTACAACCACTATTTAGATTTTATATAATAAAATATATATAAATGAGGGATTAACCATGTAGTACAGTGCTTCTCACTTCCAGTCCTCAGGCCCCCTTCCCTGCATGTTTTAGGTGTTTCCCCACTGCCACACACTTGGATTGAATCTATGGGTGATTAACAAGCTTCTGCAGCACTTAATGCCTACAGAAGAGGTAATGCAATCATTTAGATCAGCTGTTGTGAAATACAGGCACATCTAAAACATGCAGAGCAGGAGGGCCTGAGGACTGGAATTGAGAAGCACTGATGTAGTCCCTCATGGTTAGGATAATGCTGTGTTTACTGTTCAGAAAACGGTTGTAGTTTTGAGTTTCTGAACATACAGTGATGTGAGAAAGCGCCACCCTTCATGTTTTCCTATTCTTTTTGCATGTTTGTCTCACTTCAGTGTTTCAGAACATTGTACTCTGGTTGTCACTAAAACTATGTCAAGAAACTTAATTATTCCCCCCACCCCAAAAAGAAATTAATAAAATAAGAAAAATGGTGGAAAGATCTAAAAACTCCAGAGGTCCCTAATGGACATGGAGAAAAAGTTTTATTTTGCGTTACCTCACAATACGTTTTCAATACTTTGCAATGTCTAGTTTGTATACAGTCACAAATGTCAATTTAAAATTTCAAACATATACACATTTAAAGAGCCTCGGTGAAAACGTGTTTATATATTCTTAACTCTTTGATGCAAAAACAGATTGAAAATCGATTTATTCACTGCGTGTTTATGTCAGTGTAGTGTTGAGATGGAACTGCACATGAAAACGTTCCTTTATTATTATTGTCTTGGTGTATTGGTGTGTGGATGTGGGTTTTCTTTCTTTCCTTACGGAAAATTTGTTTACATCTTAGAAGGGAGATAGAAAGCCCATGTTTGGACTGTTTTGCTTTTGTACATAGGTTTGTGGTGCATTTCTATCCAAAAGACAAATATATAAAACTTCAGATACCTCAAAGGAGATATTAACATATATGGAAAAACTATTTTTTTCCTACAACATTGAATGCAACACAATGTAACCTGACACCCACTGCTAAGTAGCGGGAAGTGCGGAGAGAAGGACAGAGCACCAGCAGCATTGATGGATAAATATTACTGGACTGGACATTACGTGATTTATCGTAAGTCACACATGCGCCATTGCTGTCCATTGAATCAGGAATATCGGTGGTCAGGAAACTACGACAATCACGCAAAGAATCAGAACAACGGACGCAATGTTTAGCAGTTAATTAAACCATAGATAATGGTAATAAGGGCTTCAGATTTCACAGATGAGGAAAACGTTTTAATTTAAAGAAAAGATTGAACAAGTGAGCAGTGGGTCAGTTATACTAGCCTAACTGTTGCTGGCCTGGTATTGACTTTGATAACCTTAGCATGTGCTGCGCAGTTCGGTGTGTTTTGGTTCCGTTAGCACTAAACAACCCGCCCACCGAGTCATCAGTAGAGCAGCTGTTCAAATCAGCTAATCAACCACCGCGGTGTTCAGGCAAAAACTTATTAATAATCACAATATAGACATTAAGCCTGACAGTAACAGACCGGATGTTCTGTTTTAGTGTTTTTGCTACTTTTTTGTGTGGGAAATGTTTGCTTTTTGGTGTCGATTCCCCTGATCGGTAATCTCTGCTCTATCTGCTCGTTGAGCTGTTGTTTGTCGGTTGCCATGGCAACGGGTCCGTGTGTAATGCCGACATACAGAGCGAGAAAAGGCGGAATAGAAGTTGTTGGGGCTATTTTTTCTTTATTTCTTTATCCATTTGAATTTTGTTACTTTATTCTTAAATTTCTATTTTTTGTATTATTCACAGAGTTTATTTTGTAGGTTGATAATTGTTGATTTTATTTATTTTTTGTTTTATTATTTTTCTTATGCATTTTCTAAATATAGACAGGAAGTAATGTGGGTCAGTCCACTTTCTATAAGTGTAGGGGCCTGGTGAAGGACCAGCAGGCATTTGGGTTTGGGGCCGATGGTTTTTACCAGAGCGAGAGTGATAGCATGAGAACAAATGAAAGTTTGATCTCTGTAATTATTTGGTGAAAGAGGGAAATAAATCACCAAGAACAATCAATAAGTTTGGAAATTCAACCTTCTTTTGCCCGTGTCGAGAAACATGACCCCAGTGCCTTAGTAGTGGCTTGGTGGAACCTTTATTGGATGTTTGGCTTGGCAAACAATCAGAAGTGGTTCTGTCTAGTTTGGTTTTTCACCTGTTTATCAGCTTTATTGTACCTTTATTGTGGCGCACTGCAGCCGCTGCAATTCCTAAAAACAAGCGACAAAAACTGATCTAATCCCCTGTGTTCGCAAAACATGGTGATATTTATAACAGTTGTCAAACTACGGCTCCTACAGTATATTTAAAATAAAACGATTGATTAAATAGAAATTTGCCCCTTCTTGCATCTTGACAGAACTAACAGAAACTAAACTGTTTATAGATTTGTATCATGGAGAATTTATCAAACATCAGTTTTTTAATATTTATTTTAAGTTGTATTTAATAGATATATCTAATAACAAATGATGGCGCTACTAATATTTTCGTGACAGATTTCTCCTTGTCCTGTATTGGGATAAAATGGTTTTCTGGACACACTGAATCACATAGCGACCAATAGGCTCTGTCCAGTCCAGTAAAGCATATCAATTAGCAAGAGTATGAAAGACGTAAAAATAATTAACTAAACTACATTAAGAAATTGTATTTAAGCCTCGGTGCTACATGAAGCTTATTTTGAAACAATGCAAGTTCAAAACAATATTTTGTGTGTGTGTGTGTGTATATATATATATATATATATATATATACTGCCACCCCTAAAAAATCCCTGCCCCCCTCTTGCCACCCCATAAATATTTTTCTAGATCCGTTACTGCATGGCCTGAAAGCTAATAAAAAGTGAGAAATTATGTTTTAATTATGCTTTAATAATTTAAAGTTGATTTGCACAGTGTTACTTTTCTAATGATAAATTCATGAATGACATTTTATAAATTAAATCTTAAATTTTAGCTTTAGAGAGGATTAAAGCTGCCGAGGTCAATTCGCATCATCGGCTCCAGTAGTCAGAAACCAGTCAGGCAACACTGCTGCGTGACGTGCGTTTGGTGGAAGCCTGGGACTTTGACTATAGAAAGAATCTCTTTTTTCTTCTTCTTCTTCCAGGGAGCTCAGTGACACGGCAGCCATGTTCCCAAAAAAATGGGGAGCGTAATAGAATCATTAAGGCATGATTAAAGTATTGACAGTATATTAATGAGAGGGATGAAAGCAGCTGCGACTGCCATTCATCTCCGGAAGCAGAGCAGTGAGCGCGGACCGGCTGTCCCGCAGGTGCCTTATTAAAATGTAATCACGGCCAGGCTCTTTAGCCATTCAAGCTAATGGTGTGGATGTGCTCAGGAGATGATGGAGAGAGGGGCCCTTTGAAGAGCCGCATCAGTGCTGAGTCATTGCTTTAAGGTTGTCGGAGTAAGCTGAGTGCTCTGCGCGCGCGCGCCTCTGCACAGTAAATGGAGGATAAGATAATCTATAGGCAGATAAAGATCTACAGTAACGTCGGTTGGCCAGCAGAGGGAGATATTTCACAAAGATTAGTTTGTGGACGTTACAACAGCCTGTGTAGATCACAGTAAAACATCACATATTTTTACTTTTATAACATACAACGAGGTAGAAAAGTATGATTTCATTTTAGGTAAAGTTTTATAATATCAGCACAAGCATTTTCACTT